CCCTGAGCTCTGACAGATAGGCATCAGTGGCAGATGTGCTAGTTTCTAGACTGTACGCGCTGGCTAGGTCTTGAATATGGAAGAAAACATCTGGGTTCCTAGTACAAGGTTTGTCATAGGGTAAACATTGTTTCTTTAATTCCTTAACAGTGGCTTCATGTTGAAACTCCACAATAATCTGATCACAGTTTGGTAACTTAATGCGCCTGTTAACTGGTCCGAATCCTTCCATAAACCCAAAGACTTCGTTATCAAGGTCTGTATCAGTTAACCCACTGATTAAAACAGCATTTGAAACTTTGACCTTTTCTGTTTTCACAACTTCCATTTTAAAACACTCAAAAGTACCAATAATGCCAAAATGGCAAACCACTGTGACCTCCAGGCACTCTTATGATGTCAGTCAATGGTTAGCTAAGGTAACAACTCTACAATTCTCCTGGCTGGCTCGCCAAGTTTTATGTAACCGGATTACAGGATACAATAAGATAATTAAAAGAAAAAATAAACAAATGGGCCAATAATTAGGTTCGGGGAGAATTGGAGGTTGTTTAAGAATGACTGGAGTCACAGGTATAGCATGAAACGGTTTATATACTAAATTTTAATAATAATGGGAAATATAACACATAAAGATAACACACAAAAACAGATGAAAACAATCGACAATAGTAAAATGGTCGGGATGAGATTTGGTCATATGAGTCACAAGTCAGCCGGCGTCAAGTCAAATCCCCACGCTTGGGGTGAAAGTCAGAGTCCGGTGGTGCGATTTTTCCTACCGCACCGTTGAGATTGTTCACAGAAGAGAGCAGTCTGCTCTTCAGTTACTTGAGATGTCCTGGTTCGTTCAGTGGTTAAGGCTCGCCATCTCCCTCGTCAGGAAGAAATCCAGTTCTCGTTCCAAGTGAGTGATCATAGGAGTCGGGATCAAACCCAAGGAAAAAAAAAACCCAGCCTGTAAACAACAGGACTGTTAGCAAGTTGGCATCGACCCTTCTCGTCACATCACAGCATAAAGTCTTACAGACTTAAACAAATGCTTCACTCTATTGGCATAGCCAATCATGTTTGGGTTCACAGTTCAACTAACATAACATCAATTTGATTGTCTATTAAAATAATTCTCAGTAGCTCTGGAAATATAATTATATATGACAACAATTGTTCAGCTCAATAGGCTCAGTTAGATTCTATTACTCTACACTATTCGACAAGAAATACATTCATGACAACAAGGATACATTTAGTTGTGTTTCTATACAGCATTGTGACACCTTGTATATCTGTAACACAATAAATAAATAAATAAATAAATAAATAAATAAATAAATAAATAAAATGTTCTATAACAAAATTCAACAAAATATAAATTCTGGTCCTTTGGTCCACCTCTGTAAAATAATTCCTCCCTAATCAGTTAGCTTTTATTTATTTTTATTTATCTATTTTTTTTATTATTAAATGTTTGGTTAAGGGACGCATTGCTAATTCTATGGCGTTAGCTATAACGCCCCTGAGGACCTTGTACATCTAGGCCGTACCACCGTTAACTGGCGGTTTGAGCCGTTAACTCCTGGGAATCCCATATGCCGTACCGCCGTTAACTGGCGGTTTGAGCCGTTAACTCCTATATGCCCTACCACCGTTAACTGGTAGTTTGAGATGTTAACTCCTGGGATCTAACGTCTAGCAGCCCACTGCTGTCACCTCGGTTGCTGTAATTAGCTTTTTGAATTTAATAATTTACTGAATTTAATCTCATTCACTCACCAACGCGCTCCAACGGTTCCCTCCTACAGAGGATTGGTTCACTCTGTCGTCTCCACACAAATCTATAAGAATGGAATTAATTTGATAAGCTATTTAAGTTTCCTTTTTTTTTTAAGTTGCATCGTTAGCTTTTTCTCTTCTTTTTTCTTTACTCACCGCGTTGGTTCCAAGTTCCTAGCTCTTATTAGAAGGAGTCAAGTCCGCCTCTCCCTCTATCTATGCGGCACCCAAATCAGGGTTCTTCACGGCCTCGACCGTTGTTTTTTTTTCTCTCTCTCTCTCTCTCTAACCGCTCAGTCTTTGCTTTCTGTATCTGCGTGCTGCACAGCCGTTTGTCTCTCCTCTCGCTCAGCTGCGTCGCACGGTTTTATTTCGCGGAGGCGGGACTTATTTCTCTCAGCCAATGAAATTTCAGATTCCCACCTGGGCCAATAGTATACAGCTTTCCTCTTCTGTTTCTGTTAGTGATGTTCAAGATTCTTGTTTTAACCGATGTTTAATATTAAACTCGTTATTTTAGTTATTCACCCTTCCAATAATTCATTATGAAATTATCTATTAGTTAATTAGATATCTATTAATTAGTATTGTTAATTTCCTTAATTTATATTTTATATTTTATCTAAATTGAGGATGGATCATATTAGTAAGCCAATTAGTTAATACCTCATTAAGGTTCTAGCTTCTGGGTTACATCAACATCAAGACATTTATTTTTACCAAACTAAACATTTAAATTGCAAATAAAGTTTTGCTTCAGAGCATATTTCTGCACATCTAAAGCCCCCACAAGCCCATGAACTCCACTAAATTATTATCCTGTCACATTGGAGCAAATCAGTGTCTGAGAACGATGTCGCTCTGAGCCGTCCAGATTAGCTGCCAAGCTGACGCTCAGAGTATAATCATCCAACCAGCTCATCATCAACTCAGCCCACAACCTGACATCCCGCTGCCTTCGCTGGACGAGACACGAGAAGTCACTGACAGCTATTTAGATCTTTAAACTTATACAAGAAGCAAGCTTTATTGTTGACTTTTGGTTAATGTTTTATTCGATCAAGATTAACCACAGATCAGATGTGTGACCAAGTCACTGCATTGCAAGTCACAAGTAAGTCACGAGTCATTCCAGTCAAGTCTCGGGTCAAGTCCAAGTCAAAGACAACAGAGTCGAGTCCAAAGTCAATGATGTGGAAGTCTAAGTCAAGTCCAAGTCCTTAACTTTGAATTTTCAAGTCATAATCAAGTCATCTGTCCAACTTCAATTTAATGACGATAATAAATAAATTCCAGAAATAAAGCTTCTTAAAGCTGAATTTATTTGCTCAAACAAGCAGAAAGTGCAACTGAAACTGATTATAAACAAAGTGCTGCTGCATTTAGCAGTAAATCAAACCCAGACCCAAGAATGATTTGTCCAGGTCAGGTCACTTCGTGCTAAAATATCAAATATGCTCAAGTCATCATCAAGTCAACAGATGTAAGTCGATTCAAGCCGCAAGTCATTGGCATTCAAGTCCGAGTCAAGTCATTAGTCTTTATAGATTTTATAAAGTCAATTCAGAAGTCATTAAAATAATGACTTGAGTCTGACTCGAGTCCAAGTCGTGTGACTCGAATCCACACCTTTGCCACAGATACATATTTAAAGCTATATTTCTAGATTGGATTTTCCCTGAAAGATAACACAATTCTGAGGTACTTTTTCATTTTAAATTCAGCAACAGACTTGTGTAATAGGACCCGCTGCAGTTTGCTTATCGCCATGGAGTTGGAGTTGAAGATGCCATCATCCAGCTGCTTCAACCAATCCACTGTCATCTGGACGAAGCAGGCAGCACTGTGAGGGTCATGTTCTTTGATTTCTCCAGTGCATTTAACACAATCCAGCCTGATGTACTTTGCCAGAAACTCCAGAAGACACAGGTGGGGGCCTCAACTATCGCCTGGATTAAAGACTACCTGACGAACAGACCACAGTTTGTGAGGCTGAAGAACTGCACATCAAACCAGGTGATCAGTAACACTGGAGCACCACAGGGGACTGTACTCTCACCATTCCTTTTCACCCTGTACACCTCAGACTTCCAGTACAAATCAGAGACCTGTCATCTACAGAAATACTCAGATGACTCTGCAGTTGTCGGGTGTATCAGAGATGGACAGGAAGCTGAGTACAGAGAGCTGGTGGAGAGCTTTGTGGCATGGTGTGGAAACAATCATCTGATCTTGAACGTGAACAAAACAAAGGAGATGACTTTAGGCTTCAGAAGAAACAGGGTGGAGTCCAACACAGTTTCCATCATGGGAGAAGAAGTGGAGGTGGTTGAGGAATACAAATACCTTGGAGTTCACCTGGACAACAGACTGGACTGGAGAAAGAACAGTGAAGCTGTTTACAAGAAGGGACACAGCAGACTGCACTTCTTGAGGAAGCTTAGGTCCTTCAATGTCTGTAGCAAGATGCTGCAGATCTTCTACAAGTCTGTTGTTGAGAGTGTAATCTCTTCAGCCATCGTCTGTTGGGGTAGCAGCATCAGAAGCAGGGACCTGAAAAGGCTCAACAACCTAATAAAAAAGGCTGGTTCTGTTCTGGGGACGACCGTGGAACCACTGGAGGAGATAATGCAAAGAAGGATTCTCCAGAGAATCAAGAAAATGATGGACAACCCTGAGCATTCTCTTCACAAGACTGTCCGACAACGGAAGAGTGTCTTCAGTCAGAGGCTTCTTCAGTTTCGCTGCAACACTGACCGCTACTGGAGATCCTTCCTGCAAACAGCCATTGTAATATACAATAACTCTTTGATGACTTGATTATTATTATTATCCTGAGCTACTACAGCAATCAAATTCCCTCTGGGAGTAATAAAGTATTTTTGAATTGAATTGAATTTGAATTGAATTGAATTTGAATTGAAGTGTGACCCGAGAGTATGTCAATAAAAATAAATCCAAACTATTTAGCATGGGCCTAAACTTCTAAACCATGGAAGAATGTTTATGCAATAGGAGGATGGAAGGGGAGTGAAAAGCAAAAATGCAATAAACACGTATTTTGACATAATTAGAATAAACAGAGTTAGTCCAAATAAAAAGGTGAAATTACTGCACCTTTTTAGACAATTGGAAATCAAAAATCAGTTTTTGTGTTTGAACCAAGAAGAGAATCGAAGAAAACAAATGTAAGTATTTGCAAATGAACTAAAACACATGCAGACTCATTTAGATGGAGTGTTAAAGTTTTATAGTGTTAGAGTAAATTTTACAGAAACAAGAAATCAGGGCAAATACTGTGAATTCAGAGAAGACTTTGAGGGTATTAATCATTAGTGAACCAGATCTAAACCAGACTTTACTTATTTTTCTTTAAGTCATCAGTAACTAATAAAAAATAGAATTAAAACAATCAAGGGTAAATGAAGATGATGTCACTTTGTCATTATATTCATGTGATATGATGAAGTTTATTTGAGTGTATGCTTGCTAAAAAAGAGGAAGGCCGTCTGTTTACATCGTTCATTCCTGAACATCCGTTGCTTAGCAACACCTTTCCAAGACAGTTTACGTCCATCACAGCTTAAGTCAGAGACAGTGGGACTTGGGTCTAGGTGATGTGAGTGTGGAGATGTCGTAGGAACTCCCCACTTGTGGTCGAGTCTCCAGGAAAAACTGCTTGACAGAATTCGCACACATGAGAGTGCAGCACCACGTCTGACATCATCGCTGCTCCTGCCTGGTTGAGAAGGTCATCAACCTGATAGGAACAGCCGGTCATGGGCATCTGGCAACAACACAGGAGAGAGAAGAGTTTTAAAAGTAGTCATTTAAGGACCAGAGACACTTTTGTCCAGCAGAGACGCTAACCCTAGCCGTGCGCTGGGCCTTGTCTTCAACAGGAGGATTTTCATCAGATTTTAATTTGATGGAAGAAGCTCCGAGGTATCTGGATGGGTCTGAAGTCAGCATAAACACCTGACTGGGTGTGTCCATACTGAGCTTTGACATATCTTCTGCAAGGAGACTTGAGACTGTCCCTACTTTTCTGTAGGGGTGATCTACTCGGCATTGTTCTGCAGCCTTCAGCAGTTGGGACTTTTCCTGAAGAGATGGAGGAAGTTCATGACTGCATCGCACCGGGATGGAAATCAGGTCACTCACCTCTCCAATAAGAACAGGCGCACCTGCAACAAGGGGAATATGCACAATTTATTTAGTGACATGATGTTTAGGAGCATTTAAACTGAAGCCCAAACCTTGCTGTTTCTGCAGAGCGGTTGTGAGCTGATGCAGCAGCGCTGCCTGCTTCAGACAAAGGGACCTCAGGCTGAGAAACTGCTGATACAGTTGGTTGTACGCTTCCTCCATCCCACCTGGAGATCTGCTGCTGGGACAAACACAGTAGGAATTACTTCCATACATAAAGTAAAACCACAGACAGGGATCAAAGATGCACCCACTCTTCTATTGGAGCAGTGTGGTTCTGTAACCTCCCACTTCTCCTGGAAAATGTCACTGATTTCTCCCTGGCCTCACCCGTGGAGGTCATTAGGCCTATTTAGGGTGAGCTTCAGCCCCTCCAAAGATGAAACCAACCTCCTTAAAAATACAGTAATAATCTTACTATTGTACATCCACACAGTTAATAAGAGATCTTGTACATTGAGCACAAGTTGACTGAAAATCACTTGTTATTTTTTAAATGGTCCCTCCAAATTCAACATGCAGCTTAAACATGAAAATAGTCTTCTACCCCTATTTCTTGCATTAGCCACCAGTAGAAAACAGATGGGAAAAGCCAGTGTGTGAGTGTGTGTGTGTGTGTGTGTGTGTGTGTGTGTGTGTGTGTGTGTGTGTGTGTGTGTTGTCCACTAAAAATAAGTTAGAAGAAGAAAGCCTTAAAAAATCTTCACTACAACAGCGACAGAACCACTTTATGCTTGTTCTTGTTTTATGCGTGTGCACCCTGGATGTTGACAGCAGTTATGAAAGTAAAAGGAGGAAGAAAAAGGAGAACTAATGAAGGCATTTCTGCTCCTATGCAGCCAGCATTTAAGCAGCTTTAAGACATGAACTATTGCTTTAAATTAATTTAGAAGGGCTATAATGGCAATATGCATTTCAAAACTGGCTTATAACAAAAATTTAGTTTCTTTAAAACTCTTTGTTTGTCCTCACCAGAGCTGAAGTCAGAATCTTCTCCAGTTGGGCCAAAATGTCACCAAGGCTTCCTGCAATGTTCAAAAACAAACAGCATAACCTGGACCAATGATAAAAACTCAGCCTACAACTCCTGAATTCTTCATACGAGTGCAAACAAGCTTCAGCTGAAGCTGCTTTTACTCCGTCACACGCCACCATACAGCTACAGAAATAAGGAAGCAGCTTTTGAGAAAGCAGAAGTAAACACCCCTTTAAGTTTAAAAAGGAACTCTAAATCTCTGCAGGACATTTTGCATTGACTTCAGTATGAAAGCCTCCTTCCTTCTGGTCGTATACGGTAAAGGCAAATCAAGCCAACTCTTTTTCCAGCTCACTGACACAGGAAATGCTAAACTCATCACTTTGAATTCTACTAATTTGGCCTGAGACAACTGGCAGAGCAACATTACTGACATGAGAGCAACGATATGTCTTGCCTGCCCTTGGTGAACTGTAAAACTAGATCCTGACTCTTCTCAGATTAAAATCTGAATGATTTTACCTTCCATTCCTTTTTTATTATTCAGGATCAGACTTGTTTTCTTTATTTTAAAGAAAATCTTGTAGTAAAGGTTTAGACTGCAACTCCATAAACTTTTCTGTCGGTCATCAGTGTAACCAGCTGCTCTTGTTTGCTCAGCTAGTCCCAACAGCAACAAAACAGGTGATCTAGCATAATCAGGCAGGATATAAATAAAACGTTTACTCACAAAAACCTCAAAGACCAGTGGTTTGGAAGAGAAGACACGAACTGAAAGATAAGATCCACATTTTTCTCTACCTCCATGACGTCACCATACCTGTGTTTGAACCAGGTAAGCTTTTCCTGTTAACATGGCCTTCAAAATAAAAGTTTTAGTTATTTTTAGATGGGGGAAATTTCCTGAAAGTCAAATTAAATTATGTAAAACTTTTTATACAGGATGAATTTGCTTGTTGGTTTTTAGTTCAAATTTAAATAAAAGCTGGTGGAGAGAAGAAATCAAATGTCCAGTTGTTTATATTTATTTTTGTTTGGACTTATTTAGGAGCTCAGGTTTTTAATATTTGGGGGAAAGAGGACTTAAGTGCATTAAATTTTGTTTGGGTTGATTTTATTTTGTTGTCAAAAATCACTACTGAATTATTCTACGCATTATTTTACTCAATGAGACTGTAGAGCTATTATAACTTTTAAAAAGGCATAACATGTCCCCTTTAACATAGCAATATTATTTGATTTATGGGAACAAAACTTTGTTTAGTTAAAGAGCAAGTCACCCCCAAAAGAGTCTTACTCCACTCCCACTTCCTGTTTGAAAAATGCAACAAATGTTGCCTGGCAGACTAAGAGGGCAGAGCACCTAACAAATACACACACACACACACACACACACACACACACACACACACACACACACACACACACACACACACACACACACACACACACACACACACACACACACACACACACACACACACACACACACACACACAGGCTCACAACAGCATTACGACGTCATAATGTACCAGCGAACATCATGGTGTACCTCTTAGCCAATAGCAATGGCAGAGTTTTTACCTGAAGATGATTCAACACTAACAGTTTTGCGCAGATTAAAATTTTTACTAAAGTGCCATATTACTGACTACACATGTCTACATTACGATTAGACACTCATTTATAGTTTATCAGCAAAAAAAAAAAAGTTTATTTGGGGGTGACTTACTCTTTAAGACAAAAACACAGCTTGCTTTTTCATTCCCTTCTTGACCCAACCAGCTAATGGTTGCTGCTGATTTGGTGAAATTCATTTTAAAGCCAAAACCTTAGCTATGAAATGATCATTATTTATTTATTTTGGCAACTTTATTTGTTTGGTAAGATGTTTCCTCGGCTTTAGAAGTTTGCTAAAAAATGAACTAGGTGACCTGACATTGATTAAGGTGGAACAGAAATGAGCTGCAGTAGAAAAAAACACACCATGGACCTGGCGGGCGGCTTAGAGAGGTTATTTTAGGACGACAGATGATGGAAGATTAAAGAGACAGGCTGAGGAGGTTTGTAGCTGTGCAGCAATCAGTCCATTTGACAAGTACACTTAAGAATATAAGCGAGTTATTATCAATAAAATAAACATTTTGTGGAAAACAGAAAAATCTTATCAAAGTCATAAAAATGTATCACCTGGGTAACTTGATTATTGTAATGATCTGAGATGGATTTTATTTAAGCAGCAGTAAATCTGTTGATTTAAGTGTATAAATGCATCTAAACTGGTATAAATCTGGTAAAATCGCCCAAAGCATCTGCCTGTTCATGCATCTCTGACACTATCTGACCAGCAGGTGACTGGTGTGGTGAGAGTGTGTAAGGAAAGCTCTTTGTAGAGTCTTGAGTGTGTGTCCCCAGTGAGTCAGCTGCTTATATTTTAAGTGTGTGGCATTCTAAGTGTCCAGTCATGTGTTTAGTTTGGCTGATACAGATTTATAAATAGACCAACATTAAGGCGGATGTCAAAGGAGCGGCAGACCACCTTCTGTCCCGTCCATCCAGAAAGAAGAAGCTGTAGATTTTGCCCGCAGTGTCAACACCTGACAGCCGGTTTTACTGCCAGTGTCTTGTGATTTTATTGGGGTGCCAACTTCAGGCTGGTTATGTAAGTCTGTGTTAATAGGGCGGGCCGCCTTCATCTCTGAGTTACAGCGAGACAGTCACGTCTTTGTCATGTTGCCTCTTCTAAATATGGATCATTTACATCTGTTCCTTTATGTCTTTCTGTAGAAGAAGTTTTAAGAATATTGAAAGAATATTGAAAAGCATGATTTGGGGGTGTATTTTGGCTAGTCTCATTATCCAATCTGGTCAAAATAATGTATTTTGTAAAAAATAAATAAATAAAAAGAAAAGAAAAATGAAACTGCTAAAAATAAATTGATACCAAACTACATTTTTATTCTGTAGAATGAGGAATATGAAAACTAAAGAGGGGTTGGGAGGGGGGGGGGGGGGGGGGGGTCATTTTATTCTATAAAGCACTTTGAGTCACATTCTATGTATGAAAAGCGCTTTATAAATAAACTTTTGATTGATTGATTGATTGATTGATTGATTGATTGATTGATTGATAAGGGCCAGGGTTAGATACCTTAACAAATGTTTTTTTTCCCACCTTTGGAGTGTTTATAGAGGCAGTAGAGATCCACATGGTAACATAAAATGATGCAAAAAGAAAGTTTAGCATAATATGTCCCCTTTAAACAAACTTTGGTGACAATTACTGTGAAAGCATTTGAAAGCAAATGAAATAAAAATGAAAAATAAAATAAATGTTTTATTTGACTAGTGAAACGCAGACTAACACAATAAACAGTTGTAAAGAACAACAGAGAAAATTGGATGAGGAAAACCTTTGTAAAGGGTTAATTTACATCTAATTAATGAACCGTGAGATATAAGCGTCCATAGTAAATATGAAATCAATCTCAAGGACCAATGGGTTATTTTAACCAGAAGATTGGAACTTTTTATTGCAGGGATTATGTAACACTTGTATTAAGTGAGAGGCAATAGAAGAGAGAGTCAAATTTAAAATGTTTAAGAAGATTTATTTCTAAACAATTTCAAAGAATTTTAAACAAGACTAACTCTAACTCTAAATGATGAATGGATCTGGTGTGAATGAGACGTGAGATGAATGGTGTATGTGTGAGTGATGTTATAATCAGGACTCTCGTATCCGGAGAAGCAAGTCTGAATGATGTTGTGATGTTTTGCTTTAGCTATGATCGGAGTTTGATCGGAGTTTCATAAACACATTCGACACCATGTTGTTGCTCTACCCACACCCTTCAGATGAGACCTCCGTACAGATCCAGACTGCCAGGTCCTCGAACCCCTCTTTCGGTACTGGAGCCGATGAAACAGCGTCAGCAGCATGACAGACTAGTCTTTGGATTGTCTCCAGGTAAAAAGCGACAGTTGGTTCACAGCGTCAGATGGACCCCCCTTGGGTCAGTGAGTTCAGGTTTTATTCTGAAAGGAACCGTTGCTTGGTTGGTAAACTGCAACAGATTTTATCCAGCTTGTTGGTTCTTTGCTTAAAAAAGGAAGTCCGGGTGGCCGGTCCGATACTTCGCTTAGCATGCGGTGAACTGCAGTGAACTGTAGAGAACTTAGAGAACTGAACTTAAGATGGCGTGGGAACTGGTTTTATTAATCTGGATGTTTTGATTTCTGGTCGAATCAAAGTTGGCAGACTTATAAACACCACAGAGACTATGCCACGCTTCAGAAAGGAAGGTTCTGATTGGATGAGTAAACAATGTGTCATGCGTTTACATTACGTGTAGTCAGCATGTCTAGTGCACTAGATTAAAGTCATATTACTTATTAAAGCATACTAATCATAACATTGTCATTTCACAGATTGGTCAACGTTATATTATTGACTAACACTTTGTTTGATTAGCTTTATTAAAAATAGAGTTATTTGATTTATTAAAAGGAAATAGTCTTTTATCTTCATTCTTCTCTTGAGCTGGAAAGAAGCAGTTTAGAAGCAAATGCATGACCTTGAGGCAGTCTCATGCAGATTAGTACTGTGTCAGAGGCGGTAAATAACCTTCGGTGGAATGGCACCTCCATCATGTTACACCTCATAGGCCTGCAGAGACTTCTGCCGACTGTAAAGCTGTTTAACCCTTAAGGACTGATGTCACATCCCATTTCAAACATCTGCACGTTTGCTTCTGCAGTCACATATTCAAGTTTGACAACTCCAAGTGACGTCCTATTCATGCATATCCAGAAATACTTTAACTTCTTTATTTTTATTTGTTTTTCTACATTTTGATGTATTTATTCCAATCTGTTTTTTTATTTTATCTACTTCCTTGCTACTTGTAGAGACAAGCTGGTAATGGAGTAAGATCATCAGAAAGTGTTAAGATACCGTCCCAAAAAGTACACGCATGACACGCTAACATGAGCCAACTCAGACAGCGTGCACTGATAATTTCACTACACAAAAGTAAAGAACCGCTAGGCTCATTTTTTTACACAGAGCAAAAGTCTGTTAACAGCTCCTTCTGTTTCCTGTGTGTGATGCTTTTAACTAGGAAATGTTTCATGTTGGTCTTTAAAAAAGCTTAAAGTTAAGGTGCTCGGTGAGTTGCAGTTTTTAGCTGTCAGAATGTGACTTAGTGATTGATGGAGTTATTTATATACATTTCTGCACCTTATACCACCTCCCTGTGTTGGTGTGTTTGTGTGCATGTGCTCACTTTGACCTTGAATCCCCTCTTCCACATGCACACACAAATACACAGACTCACACATACACACACACACACACACACACACACACACAAATATGCACACACATGGGCGTACACACACACACACACACACACACACACACAAGCACGCACACACACACACACACACACACACACACACACACACACACACACACACACACACAC